TCTATGACAATTTTCGTGAACTTCTAGAGCAACAACTCATGAATATTCTTATTCTCAGAGAATTAATATAGAGGGTAGTCTATATTAATATAAATTAATGATGTTTTTAGTAGTGGCTAGAAAATATTAACAATCGCCTTTTGAAATAAAGACGGTGTCGTCTTGAGACCAAAAGACGTAACTACCCACTGAAAATGTTGATTGGGTATGTAGAATGTTGTTTTGTGCCTTTCTTCTGGTTTGACTCCCCCAATTGCCAGAAACCTGCTTTCAGATCGAACTTAGAAAAAAACTTATACCTTTGTCAGATTTGCAAACATCGTCTTCCTATCTGGGAGAGAGAACTTATCATCCGCAAGAAAATGATTTAGCGGCTTATAATCAATGACAAGTCTTAACTTCTCCCTGATTTGTTCACTTCTTTTGTTAACATAAAATGCTTGACACACCCATTGAGATGTAGCAGGTTCTATGAGTCCTTCTGACTGTAATTGTACTAACTCCTTTGTAGCAAGTTCCAAATGTTCAGGACTCATTCCCATGTGAATCACTTTTGTTGGATTAACATCCTCATTCTTTTTGAAGAGTAGTGTTATAAAGAAGTCTGGGTTTTTCCAAAGAGACTTTGTGCATTTGGTAAGGAATTCTGTGTGAGATTATGCACAACAATCTCTTATAAGGATTTCTATTATGGCTGGGAACGTAAGGGTAAAATATGTTATAGGTTCAATGTAAGGAAGGAAATACTATTTAAATATGAGTTCATTTGGAAGAGGTCTGACTTGTTTTTCCCATAACTGTTTGATAATATCAAAACCAATGACAAGATCTTTTCCTGGTAGTGATAATCCTAGTAGTTTATCGGAAATGTTGTGCTCGGGGAAGAATTGGAGTGTTATTGGTTTACTAATACGTTCTGTGGCAAAGTACTCATTATTGGCTGCTTGAATTTTTTTGTGTAGGGTTTCCACATGTTTTCAGGGAGTATGGTTGGGCTGAGAATTGAGGATGCCACACCTGTATCAAATAATGCTGCCACTGTGATAGGTCTTTCATACTTTCTTGGAAGGAGTTTTATTTCAATCATTGGTACTGCCAATGAAAGGTTTATGACCTGCATCCCAAAGCATTCTTGCATACTTTCACTACCACTATCGCAGCCGTTGTTATTGTCATGGTATTTAAGGGCGAAGATAGTTTCTGATGACCGTTGTTCTTCCTTTGAAAACAATGACTCCAAATCTTTTTCATCAAGATCAATTTGAATTGTCGAAATGATTTGGTTGAGAATTTTGTCTTTTCTTTTGCTAGGGCAATTTTTTGCAAAATGACCCTTGTTGCATGAAAACTTTTTTCTGAAGAATCTCCTTTTAGGGGAAATCATGGAAAGGTTTTTTCTTTTAAAAGTTCTGCTCCTAAATTTTATGAGTTTTGAGCATTCGCATTTTCTTTCAAACCGTCTGCATTTGATCTTTAAATTTGATTGACCGTAGGCTTTGCCAAAAAATTTTCCCTTTAAGTTTAAATTTCCGAAGAATTCCCTTTGATTGCAGAGTTTTTTCAAGGTCTTCAATACCCAATTATGAAGCTCTCTGATAGATGTTTGAGATAACGCATGTCCTTTCAGCTCCATCATTCTGCAGATTTCTTGACCAAGAAGTTGTGGAATGGATTCCAGGCATGCCTGCTTGAGACTAGAATCATCAATTCTTCCAAAAATATAATATCGTTTCATGATTTCTTTAAAGTGTATGTCCAAATCTTTTGACTTGTAGGAAACACACTTTAATTGGAAGAATTCTTCGCGAGCCTTTTCCTTTGCATAATCTGGCCTTCTACAAAACTCCAATGTAGATTATCAAAGAAATTGTCAAGATCTTGAGTATTCACCCATTGTCGTTGTCTATAACTCCAAAGAGATACGAACTAGTCTTTCATG